AGGCGAACGTCACCAGGGGAAGCATTCGTGGATTGTTTCCCAACTCGTTTGTATCCCGAATGAAGGCCTCCCTGGTGCCCCATTAGAACGTTCACACCAATTAATCAGAACACTCGCACCCCCAACATAGGTGTGAAACCTCAAGGGAAATAATTGAGTGCTCCCCTGGGTGGCCGCTATTCATACAGAAGAACACCATCCAGGGGGAGAATTCGTACCCCAAAATGAGACGCTTCCCTTGTCTGAGTTTCACACCAGGCCCTCACGAACGGAGACTAGTCGATCGAGGGACCGACATGAGTATCCCTGAGATTGGTGTGGTCACTTTTGGGGCACTGGTGAGTTTTGGCGGGCTCTCATGAGCACGAGGGACAAAGAGACCAGCTCTTTGCCCCACTGGTGGGCTTTTCTGTGCCTGGGAGACAAAGGGATGGTCCATTTTTCCCGCAACTAGACTCTTGGGAAGAAGACCCCTGGCGGGTGGTGGCGGGCTTTGGGGACAAAGGGAATGTAGTCCCTTTCTGCCCTGGGACTTCGGGGAGAGAGAGGATTGTGGGATGTGTCTTCATAGGTGTGTATGTTCCACCCCTTGCACGAGGTATGCATAAGAGCCTTGTGTGGCCAATAAAATTGTGTTGCACCTCCAGGACTGTGTGTTACTGGGGGGAAATGGGTCCCTTTACACTGAGTGGCTGAAGGCAAGGAATTAGCAGAGGTAATTGATGAAGGCAGGAGGATAAATTACAATAATTTAAATACTTACGATATGGAAATAAAAACTTGATTACAAATAAGACAGATAACCATTTATTTTTATTTAGAGATTTCTAAAAAATGTCTAAAAATGATTTCAAGGAAAACGTGGGAGCCCATACCCATAACTAATCTGAAGCTGGTGCACAGGACAGCAATATATTTTTAATGCAGTTGGTTGTTTGCCCACTTTACAGGTGATTTCAGTGATCACTGTTAGCATTCCAATGAAAATGTGTGGCAGGCTTGTTTATATCAAGATAATTATTTACATGTCCACGGAGCACCACTGATCAATTACCAGCAAAGTCGTGGGAGCTCATCCTCATTGTATCTCTTCTTTCTACAGTGACCAATGAGCAATGTTTGGCAACATCACAGAAATGGTTTGACCAAAAAAGGAAACACTGTCTATTGGGACCGGATCTCTTCTATCCTATATCAAGCGGGACGATCTGATGTTTCTAAAGATAAACATATATTTTGTGATTTAGTAGAAAATATTATTAATCACAGATGTAGTAATGACAAAGCGGTTAGAGGTCACAGTGTTTCAGTCTCTGCGTATACAGTCTCTTCTTTAATGAAATGAAAGTGTTCCTGCCAATCCTGACACATTTTATCTTCATGAACTTAATTTGATAAAACATATTGAAATTAAATGCTTCAGACTACAGAGTCTATTAATAAGATGTTATTTTTTTTTTTAAAAAGATCCCAGTCCCCGTTCATGCTCTATAAATCAAATACTTGTGTAGCATAAGAGTGTGAAAGGATCTGTCAAGAACTCATACACCAAGATAGAATTTGAACTTTACTGAGATCATGAGAAATGAAATGTCTTATCATGTCAATACATGCCGTAACATACAATACATACAATAGGTAGATCACACGTCTTGATGCGTCTAAAAGAAACACAAAATAATATATTGAAATATTGCCAATATATAAAATATATAGATGCTATGGAGATAAAGTACTCACAAGCCTGGAGCCAAATAGTAACATATGGCTCTCATGGGTAGTGCAGTGGGACGTTTCAGGAGGATGTCCCCGTCCTTCTTCCCGAAGTTCCTGTGGTTTTTTAGCATCTCCAATCATTTTAAGATCCACCATAACCAGAATCCAGACAACTTGTTCTTTTGTCCTTTAAAGCTTATAAAAAGAGATTGGAGAGGGGGAGATTATATGAAAAAAATAGGAACACAAGAAATAAAGTTTATTTACAATTTCAACACACTTATACCTCATGGTTTAAACTCGGACTTTGAGATTTGTCACTTTTTTAAATAATCAAATATATTCATGCACCTTCTACCATATCTCCATTCATTTGCACTTATACCTATTCTCTTTCCCCCTCCTACCCACTAGTTCAGAATGGTTGGAAATCACAACTATTGAATGGACATATTCACCCACCTATAACTAGATTCTATGCATATTTATCTAGAATAACCTATTGTTTGTGTATCATAGGTTTTATGTTGTGGCTTTCATTAATATTGATGTATGAGATAGTGCAATGCAATATGTTTTCTCTCTCAATTAATGTTAATACCAACCAGCCTACTCTTACTCTTCCAAAAGCCTTTTCTCTTGAAATCTAATACTTAGTTCTACCATCTGCACCATCAATAAGATGATTATTATATGTATAGTCTTCTTATATTTAACTTAAAGGATAGATCATTTAACATTATAAAAGCACCATTCATTAAATAGTACCCGTTTGAATAAATCTACATTTTCTGACCTATTGGCAATTTATATTACCTATTCCAATGCCTATTTAGGCTCATAACCAAATATATACTATTACAAATGATTCCACATCTATATTATAAGAGTCTATAATGGTTTAATAATCCATGAGGATGCTGGTTGAGTAAATTCACATTTTGACTGCAATCGCATACAGTGATATTGGATTTGAAAGAGAATTCCCGAGTGGAACGCACGCATCATGTGCCATGCGTTCCAGTGACATCAGCTATGCGCCCAAGTCGGCACAAGTGACGCAACCAGGAAGTAAAACGCATGTCGTCTGAATTGAAATGCATAATACGTTCCAATGTGCAACAGCCGAACCTGGAAGTGCGTAGACCAGGCAGTTGAAAAGGACGCCAAAAAGCCTCTACACACTATTACCGACTGAGGAAGCCCCTGCCACGGGGCGAAACGCGTTTCGGACACCACTAGTCATTTGGCAGGACTTAACTTTGGACTGATCCAGCCCTATTGTCTATTTGTACCCATTTATACCGATTTTATTGGTTTTTACTGGTTTTTATTACACCAGACACATTTTTATACTCATTTTGGATTAATAAAGTTCTTTTTGAAGAAAATCTGCTTGTGCAGCTCAACTTTATCCTATTCATCCTGAAAAGCCACGGGAACATCAGGAAGAAGGACGGGGACATCCTACTGAAAAGTCCCACTGCACTACCCATGAGAGCCATATGTTACTATTTGGCTCCAGGCTTGTGAGTACTTTATCTCCATAGCATCTATATATTTTATATATTGCCAATATTGCACTATATTATTTTGTGTTTCTTTTAGATGCATCAAGACGTGTGATGCACCTATTGAATGTATTGTATTTTTGTATTTCTTAGAGTGGTATAAGGGGTCCCCACTCAGGTGGTCTGTAGCATTCTCTGCTACCACACTCATTCACCTTCATTCCATTCACTGTATATATTTGTCTTTTCTACATGCCGTAATATTTAAGAGAACTTGGAAGAAATCTTAATCAGGGAAAATATTGGAGATTGAGAAGGACACTGACGAATACAAGGAAAAATGCTAGATTTATCTCTGCTTCTTCCGAAAGAAGAATTTTCTGAAATGGATGCCAGGCAGAGAGATGATGAGTACCCAACATAATGAAACATTTCGATATATAAGGTTTGTTTGTTTGCGGACACTCACTGATTAATTAAAACCTATATGGATAATATATAACAGGGACATTGCAGGGTGGCGATGGGGCGTGAGGTTACCCAGGTTACAGCCTCGAGTGGGTTGCTGAAAAGCCCCAAAGTCTTATTTTAGCCCTTCATATTGCGATTTCTGGTGTACAGCTGAGAGAGAGAGGAAGCAGGAAGACAAGGTTACTGAGACAGTCACTTCCTTTGCCCAGCTCCACCCCTTCTCATCGACAGAATGCAGCCTACTATCCTCTTTAGTGTGCAGGTTGCTACTGGTTTACAATACTCAGCAAAGGAACCAGGGCTTTTACAGAACTTCAAAGATAATATTAATAATTTATAAAATATGTATCAGTCTATCTCTGTCATACAGCTGATGTTTTATCTGTATATTTTACAGTTTTCACCTCTGAGGATATGGATTGGGATCTCATTACTGAAAGAAAGCCACACCCACCTTACCAGCGAGCGCTTACCAAGTGGTGCTGGTACATGTTATATGGCGTTATTATTGGATTCCTGGGAGGAGTTGTAATGGTGTTCATAATCTTTCTATTGCTCTTCAGGGTTTTAAAGATTGATGAAAGAGAGATATTTTTACAAGATTATCTGATAATACATGTCTTTGGCACAGTAAGGGCAGTGATGATGAGCAAAATGAGAGATGAAATAAACAGCACTTGAACTTCTACATTTCTAGCAATTTAATGTTCATTTGTCTAGATATCCCATAATGATGGATTATTACTGCCACAAGATCAAATTTCTGTACACAACTTAAGCTGATGACACAACATTTGTTCTGCCCTGCTCAAGATGTTCAAACGAGTCATATACAGCACCCGAACAAGACAGGTGCCATAACTGAGAGCTCCATGTTGGCTGTCTACAAATCTTGAACATGATTGCCCTTGGATTGCAGATCAGCGTAGGACAAAGCTCTAAGCCGCGCAGAGTAGACCCTGCTATCAGTTTACAAGAGACCAATGCCTGATGTTCTCAATAGAGACAAAGCAGATAAAGAAGATTACCAATGTTGTTACTTTATCAGCTTGAAACGGTGTGGTTCAGGTTCTCCATATTATTGCTGCAGATAACCAATGATTAATGTTAACTTTGATTAAAGTTTGACTTCAAGAGTTATATATTGTTGGGGGCGGAGCCTGACCGAGCAAGAAAATGGCGGCATAATCCCCGAGCTCCGCCGAGGCCTCGCCTTAATCTAAAGCCATCGAGCGCACCTGAGCCCCCACACCCCCCCTAACGTCCCCTGTCGCCCACCTTACCACATCCCCTCACCCCCTAATGGGAGGCAGCAGAAAATCACGCAACTCCGCGGTCGCACCGATCTTCCGGCAAAAGGCCGAGAAGGCCCAGGCGCCATCGTTAGAGCACTCCCCATCAGACTCCGACTCAGAAATGAGCAGCCAGGCAGCCTCGGACCGGGCAGAGGCTCCACTAACCCGGCGGGACATGAAGGGGTTCCTCGCTGACATCCGGAAATCGGTCGCGGAGGAGCTGGACAAGAAGCTGGGCCCGATCATGGAGGGAATGGCGGACCTGTCAGCCCGCACACAAGCCACGGAAACCAAAATGGCGGAGGCTATGGAGACTGTGCAGGCGCATGGCGGGGAGCTGCAGGCACTCCGTGAACAGCTGCGCTCCCTGGAAGAATCTAACGAAGACCTCAACAATAGAAGCAGAAGAAATAACATAAGGGTGAGAGGCATACCGGAGACAGTTTCCACCGAGCTCCTGACTGACACCCTCACCGAAGCATTCCGGAACCTCCTGCCTGAAGCCTCCAATGCGGACCTGCTAATGGATCGCGCACACAGGGCGCTGAGGGCCCCTAGCAACATCGCAAGCACCCCAAGAGATGTGATCGTGCGGCTACATTTCTTCCATGTAAAGGAGCGCATCATGAGAGCTGCCAGAGAGACCCCCATAGAGGTGGAAGGCGTCCAGGTCCAGCTATATCAGGACCTGGCGCCGACCACCCTGAAAAGACGACGGGACCTGCGCCCCCTCACGCACCACCTCACCCAGCAAGGCCTCAGGTATGCTTGGGGCCACCCATTCAAGCTTATTGTCCGCAGGGAGGGAAGGTTCCACGCCATCTCACGCGCCGAGGAAGTCCCAGCCTTCCTGGATCTCTTGGGCCTGCCACAACTCCCAGAACCTCTCCACCCGGCCTCAGCCCTCCCAGCACCAGCACCAGCACCAGCAACCAGCCGCAACTTACCGCATAGCCGCAGGGACGGTCTGCATAGTCATGCAGAGCTGCAGAGGCCCGATGCCGCACGCAACTAGGACCCAAGCCGCCGGCACAGCAGGAGCACCAACCGGACACCAGGACATGTACCATACACCTATTTAGGCCACAGAACGACCCCGCACTACGCGCTTATCTGCACAAGAGAGCCACCGGCAGTGATCACCCTACGGACACAGGCACCGCCACAACGACAGAGACTGCACTCACTATGCGCACTCCCAGCCCCCTGGAGCCCTACCGGCTAAAGACAATCAGGCATCATGATGGACAGATCATTTATGGATGGACACTGGACTCTGGGCCGCAAGTATTACAGGGCAGACACACTTGAGTGCTAGACGCCACCAGCAGCAAACTAACTCCCTGAGGGGGTGAGGGGGGGACAGGGGGAGGGGGACACGGGGGTGCGGGAGGATACGGGGGGAAGGGGGGGACAGGGGGGAGGGGCAGATAGACAGAGGGGGGGTAGACGAGCACACAGGGGACAGGACACACCCGTCGGACAGGACCATACATGCACTAAGAGACATGGACTCACACACCAGGTCCACCGCCACAAAACACAATAGACGGGACTCGGAACCTGGGGAACCCAGCCCCCCGTATACACGCACAGACAGGTGCCTCTATACGCCACCAGCCGCGCTAGACGGACCTGCACTCTGGGTTGGAAGGCCGAAGCCACAGCACCAGAGCGTGGCCAGGCCCTGGGCACCATGGGACCCTAAGATGAGCCACAGGGAAGCTGAGGGATCCCCCTGCAGGGAGCCCATTGGCCCCCGGGACGGACAGACCCTCCCCCGGGATCCCAACCAGTCAGACATGTCCGGACGAGCCTCTACAACCCACTACTCTTAGGACCGTGGAGCATAGGCCCCCTTGCCCTACTACGCTACGCAGCCCACAGAACTCATGGCGGGGGGCCCAGCCCAGACACAAGCTGATCGGACACGCACCCACCCAGCCCCACACGCGGAACCCACACACATACACTCAGGGGGACCACAGATCAGAGCCACTAGAAGGCCCTGAAACGCCACCTGTAAGGGACGGACCCGGCCTCCCCACCCCCAGGACAGCCGGAGACACACGCTAGGACCCACCCGGACAGCATCACCTAGGGACCAGCGGGTCGGCCACCTCAATGCCCACTACACCCCCACCCCACACCCGCCAGGCGGAGACACTCGTTAAGGTACCAGGAGCACCCAAGTCAGGGGCGCCACGACATCCACCAGCCACTAGTGGACCTCACAGCCACGACTCAGGCCCAACCAGAACACCTCGCGGGCCCCCTGTCCCCCTACCAGAGAGGCCACGATAGGACAATGCTGGACCCAGGTGGTAACATAACAGATGTCACACACTCGTAGAGCCCAGACCCTCCCCAAATACGGCCACCTGCAAGAAGGGGCATAGGCCGCCACCAAATGACCACAGGAATGACACGGGTGGGCGACATATCAACCGAGGGGGCACAGCTGACGCATCACCCTAGACACGATCATCAAGCCTAACACACAAGTAGGCTGATAGGCAACCTTAGCCTAGACACCAATAAGGGGGGGGAAAAACAGGGAACCACACAGCAACAACCCGAACAGCAGCAGACCACTGACGACTAAGACGCACAGACCCAAGCAATGCGGAGTCAGATGGACACCACGCTCCAGGCACAGCAGTAACACCCAACACCACGCAGCACACGCAGGACACCACACAACACACCAGGTGAAAGGATGGTTGCCCATGTATGTTACAAAGCCTAATACTAGGATAACTAAGCTCTCTGTTTATATTACCAAAGTTACGAATTGATATGTATTGATGATGTTATAACTATGTTACACAAGCTATGTTGAAGAGTTACCACCACCCGACCTCTAGACTCAGCGCCACCACACGAGGCGACAACACCTTCCAATAGTAAGAGAAGGGTTGTGGGCCGTCGATCTTAGCCGGAGGTCCTTCCTTTCTCCCCCCTGCCCATGCTCCCCCCGCCCCACAAAGCTCTAAATGCAGGAAGATACCAGGCACCGGGCTGCCCCTCATAATACCCCGCCACGGGCAAAGACTCACCACACTGCCACTTACGGTGGAAAGGATGACAGCTACAGCAGTGCAGGTCGCAAGGCTGGGCTACCCACCACGGTATGGGGATTTTTTTTTTTTTTCCTCTTTCTCCTTCTTCTCCCTCCCCAACCGGCAAGGGGCCTCACACCCTACCATACAGGGCAGCCACGGTCGCCATGGACCCACGCACCTCCCACACCCCCCACCCAGCCCTCATTCAGAGCTCAGCCAACACAGCTCCAAACCAGGCAGGCCGAAGGCAGGCGCTGCCACGACTTGCCAAAAACCCTCCCACAGGACTTGCACCTTCTAATCCCATTGCGCGGATTGGAGACCGTGCCCTCCCGCCAACCAGACGACTGGCCAGATTGATAAGCCCAGTCAATCCCCACCCCACTCACAGCGACAGTCCCCGGCCCGCCACGCCCGCGCGCTCGGGGTCCCCCAACCCTCTGCCCTCCCTCACTGCCAAACCACCCACCCCCACACGCCGACCCCCCAACACCACAATGGCACTACCTTCCACGAAGATTCGCCTCACGTCCCTCAACGTGAAGGGGCTGCACTCCCCAGGCAAGAGACACGGGATGTTAAGATGGGCTAATCGCACAGGCGCAGACATAATCCTACTCCAGGAAACCCACTTCACGGACCAGAAATGCTTCCCCCTAACCAATAGACGCTTCAAAAGATACTTCTTAGCTAACTCACCGGACCCGAAGAAAAAAGGGGTGGCAATCCTGTTACGTAACTCCTGCCCTCTAGAAGACATTCACACGCTAACAGACCCCAACGGGAGATACCTGTTCCTCACGGGAAACATAGGCATGGCCTCGTTCGCGGTATGCAGCCTCTATGCACCGGCCACACCAGACCCCACCTTCTGGAGCACCTTTAAGGCCCATCTCGGCAGCATCACGGCCAAATACCTAATCGTGGGCGGGGACATGAACGCGACACATGCACCCGCCATAGACCGACGAGCGCAAAATGATACAACGCCGGCCCCAACGAGGAACGATAAACTATATGCCAGCTTCCTCAACGAGACCATGCTACTGGACATCTGGAGGGCCCACCATCCAGCGGACAGGGACTTCACCTTCTACTCCCATACACATCGGTCATACTCGCGGATAGATTGTTTTCTGGTAACACAAACGACCCAGCCCTGGACCACTCACTCACAAATTGGCAACATAACATGGTCGGACCATGCGGAGATCACACTGGACCTTCAAATCCCACGACTATCTCGCCCATGGCGATGGCGACTCAATCCGTGGATTCTCCGGGACAAAGAAACAGTACAGACCATCACTGGTCATCTCCAAACCTATTTCGAGTTAAATGCCACAGAGGACATGGCCCCGACGACAGTTTGGGCAGCGCATAAAGCGACAATCCGAGGCCACTTGATAGCAATTGCCACGGCCCACAAAAAACGACGCCTCCGGGACCTCACAGAAGCACTGGCCAAACTAACTAAGCTTGAGACACTGCACAAACGACACCCCTCCGACACTGTGCTAAAGGAGCTCACAGAGTTACGAGAGCACCTCCGGCGGCTGTCCTCAGCAGACGTGGCACGAAACCTCATGTGGACCAAGCAGCGCTTCTATGAAAAAGGAAACAAAGCAGACGCCCTCCTGGCAAACTGCCTCAAAAAACGGCAGGACAACAAAAGAATCTCCAAAATCAGAACCAGCACTGGAGAGATCACGAAAAACCCAGACAGGATAGCTCAAGAATTCCTACAATATTACACAAAACTATACGACCATGCCGATCCCCCTGGTCCAACAGGGGACGAGTCCCAAAGAGAAAGAACCTCATCTTTCCTGCGACCGCTCAACCTGCCCACCCTATCCACCCAGGCACAGGCACTGCTGGAAGCACCCATGGAGGGAGAAGAACTTGCCCAGGTCCTCAAAACGCTGAAACCAATGAAAAGCCCAGGCCCGGACGGCTTTACCGCACTTTACTATAAAACATTCCAGGCCACACTCATCCCACACCTGAGCAAAACTTTCAACTCCATACTTCAGGGTCAACGCCTCCCCCCGGACATGCTCACCGCTGACATCTGCCTCCTGCCTAAACCAGGCAAAGACCAGCTAGAACCAGGCCACTACCGGCCCATATCATTGTTGAACATAGACCTGAAAATTCTTACAAAGGCGTTGGCCATACGTCTCAACACTTGCCTCCCCCAGCTGATACATCCCGACCAGGTTGGCTTCATTCCAAAACGGCAGGCTTCGGATAACACCAGAAGAGCCTTCAACACAATTTGGTACACCCAAAATCGGAACATCCCGGCGGTAATGCTCTCGTTGGACGCAGAGAAGGCGTTTGATCGCCTTCTCTGGCCATACATGTTCCAAATACTTACACATCTAAACTTCCCGTCCGGTTTCATGAACGCCCTGGAGGCAATATACAGTCACCCCAAAGGGAAACTTCTCCTACCCAACATTGAGGCCCAAACCTTCACCATAAAGAACGGGACCAGACAGGGCTGCCCCCTCTCACCCTTAATCTTCGCTACTTCACTAGAGCCACTCCTACAGGCCATACGCAACCATCCGGACATCCAAGGCATCCAAATCAGACAAGAGAAATACGCGGTGGCGGCGTACGCGGACGATGTCCTTTTAACCCTTGCGGACCCGATACCATCCCTACATGCCACGCTAGAAGTGATAGCCGAATACTCTAGCTTCTCCGGGTATAAAATCAATCAGACGAAATCCGTCCTCATACCCATAGCGATGGGCCCACGACAAATCCAGCTCCTACGAAACTCGTTCCCCTTCCAAATCTCCACGTCTCACCTCACATACCTGGGCACCCAACTGTCTCCTAACTTAGAAGACACCTACGACCTCAACTACAGACCTCTTCTAAAAACAGCCCACCAGGACCTCCAACGCTGGGACAAGTTGGGGATCTCTTGGCTAGGTAGAGTCACAACCATCAAAATGAATTTATTACCACGCTTCCTGTATCTCTTCCAAACACTACCCATCCCCATACAGAAGAAAGACTTTAAAGACCTTCAGACCGCCATCGACAAATTTATATGGAGGGGCAAACGACCACGCATTCGCAGATCAACCATGTACGTCCCCAAAACCAGCGGGGGCCTCGGGCTACCCAACTTCCAACAATACTACAATGCGGCACAATTGGCCCATGTTCAACACTGGCACGCTCCCCCGAGCACCAAAAGATGGGTGGATCTGGAGCACGATG